CCTCGTGATCCGCCCGCTTCGGCTTCCCAAAGTGCTGGGATTACAGTCATGAGCCACCGTGCCCGGCCAAGTGCCCAGCTTTTTCTTGACAGGAATCTGTCACCCACGCTGGAGTCAACGGCACGATAGCTCACTGCAACCGCTGCCTCCCAGGTTCAAGCAATTCTCCTGCTTCAGCCTCCCGAGCAGCTGGGACTACAGGTATGCACCACCACACCTGGCTAATTTTTGGATCTTTAGTAGAGACAGGGTTTCACGTTGTTGGCCAGGCTGGTCTCGAACTCCTGATCTCAGGGTATCCACCTGCCTCGGCCTGTAATCCCAGCTACTGGGGGGCTGAGGCAGAAGGACTGCGTGAACCTGGGAGGCGGAGGTTGCCGTGAGCAGAAATTGTGCCACTGCACTCCAGCCTGGGAAACGGGTGAGACTCTGTCAGAAAAAAAAAAAAAAGGGGAGGGAGGGAGGGAAGGACGGACGAACAGACAGACAGGACAGTAAGGAAAAAAGAAAAGAAAGAAAAGAAAGAGCACACATTAATTCCTGGGAGTCTTCTCCCCTGGGCTTGCATTTTAAAGGATTTAGAATTCTTCCATTAATAGTTCCTCATAACTGAAGTCATCCAGGATATCTATCATCCATGGCTCTCAAACCGTAAAAACCACTTAGTACAAGATTAATGAGGAAGTTCATGATGAATGGACAAAACTAAAATCACTGAACACACTGATCATGCTTATGATCACCGAAACTAAAACCTGACATTTTGCACCTCTTCATATGATGCAACAGGAAGCACACTGCATCTCCTATGATACATTCTTGTCTAAAACAAAGAAAAAGAGGTCGGGTGCAGTAGCTCACACCTGTAATCCTAGCACTCTGGGAGGCCAAAGCAGGCAGATCACTTTTAGTCCAGGATTCGAGACCAGTCTGGCCAACATAGGGAAACCCCAACTCTACTAAAAATACAAAAGTTCGCCAGGTATATTGCTTGAACCCGGGAGGTGGAGGTTGCAGTGAGCCAAGATCGTGCTCCCACAGCACTCAAGCCTTGGCAACAGAGCGAGATTCCTATGCAAAAAAAATAAAAAAGCCTGCCGTGGTGGCAAGGCACCTGTAATCGCAGCCACTTGGGAGGCTGAGGCGGAAGAATCACTTGGGAATCAGAGGTTGTAATGAGCCGAAATAGAGCCACTGCACTCCAACCTGGGCAACAGGGCAAGACTCTGTCTCAAAAAAAAAAAAAAAAAAAAAAAAAAGAACCTATATATATATATAGGTTTGTATATATGTAAAATCAACCTTCTGATTCTACCACTTTACAAAAACCACGGGGGTTAAAAATCATGTGAAACAATGTCACAATGATATAATCAGCCAAATATAGGTCATAGGATCAACCTCAGGTTTTCTTCAGTAAAGACAGGAAAACTGTTAGAAACTTAGACACTTAAGAGACATTACGAAATACACGTATAGAGAGCATTTGGATCCAGATTCGAAGAAACAAATTAGAAAAATTATTTTCATCAAGTGAAGAAAATTAGACAGACTAAGTTATGCATGCTACTAAAGAATTACATTAGGCTGGACACAATGGCTCTTGAGTATAATTCCAGCACTTTCAGAGGTCAAGGCAGCAGGATCACTTTAGGCCAGTAGTTTGAGAGCAACCCAGGCAACATAGCAAGACCTCATCTCTTTTTTTTTTTTTTTTGGAGGCAGAGTCTCTCGCTATCCCCCAGGCTAGAGTGCAGTGGTGCGATCTCGACTCACTGCAACCTCCACCTCCCGGGTTCAAGTGATTCTTCTGCCTCAGCCTCCTGAGTAGCTGGGATTACAGGTGGCTGCCACCACACCCCACTAATTTTTGTATTTTCAGTAGAGATGGGGTTTCGCCCTGTTGGCCAGACTGGTGTTGAACTCCTGACCTCAGGAGATCTATCTGCCTCCACCTCCCAAAGTGCTGGGATTACAAGTGTGAGCCATGGTGCCAGGCTGCAAGACCTCATCTCTACAAAAAATTAAAAAATTAGCTGGGCTTGGTGGCACACACCTGTAGTCCCAGCTAGGCGGCTGAAGTGGGAAGATCCCTTGAGCCCAGGAGTTGAAGGTTACAGGGAGCTATGGTTCAGTCACTGCACTCCAGCCTGGATACTCATAGCAAGACTGTCCAAAAAAAAAAAAAAAAAAAAAAAAGGGCAAAAACTTTAAGCTGAACCTAATAATTTAGCCTCTAGACCAGGAAACAGAGATAAAGAGAAACAAGTTAAATGATACCCTAAGGAAACCAGTAAATAGAGGACATTCAAAAAAACTGTTGTAGCCTCCTAACACTTAAGTTAGGAGAGTAAGACAAACTAAAGAAACCAATTAACCTGGCCGGGCACAGGGGCTCACGCCCGTAATCCCAGCACTTTGGGGGGCTGAAGTGGGCAGATCACTTGAGTCAGGAGTTAGAGACCAGCCTGGCCAACAGGGTAAAACCTGTCTCTACTAAAAAAATTAGCTGGGCTTGGTGGCAGGCACCTGTAATCTCAGCTTCTCAGGAGGCTGAGGCACGAGAATTGCTTGAACCAGCGAGGTGGAGGTTGCAGTGGGCAGAGATCATGCCACTGAGCTCCAGCCTGGGCAACAGAGCAAGACTCCTTCTTAAAATAAGAAAAAGAAACACATTAACCTAATGCAACTCATAAACACTGACTGGATCCTGGTTTGGAAAGAGTAGCTACATAACACTTTTTAGACACTATTAAGCTATTTGAATACAGTTTATCAGACACTAGGGAATAATGTTTAGATACATTAAGTATGATAATGGTATTGTGGTAACAATAACATCTTATGCATGATAAAGGGAAGTGTCATGTCTATAACTTACTTTCAGACTATTGTTAAATCTAGAGCGAGAGAACACATAGGTGTTCATTGCACCGATTTTTTTTTTTGAGATGGAGTCTGTCTGTTCCCCAGAATGGAGTGCAATGGTGCCCATCTTGGCTCACTGCAACCTCTGCCTCCCTGTTCGAGGTACTCTCCTGCCTCAGCCTCCTGAGTAGCTGAGAATCAAGGCACATGACACCACACCTGGCTAATTTTTGTATTTTCAGAAGAGACGGGGTTTCCCCATGTTGGCCAGGCTGGTCTCGAACTCCTGACCTCATGATCCACCCGTCTTGGCTTCCCAAAGTGCTGGAATAACAGGTGTAAGCCACCACGCCCAGCATGACTCCTTTTAATTAGCTGGATTTTTCTGTAAAATACACATTTTCATGCGTTGCATTTGCTTTCCAGTCATCAAGGTCAACGCAAATAAATTTTTATCTTATAAAGGAACACTTTGTGGTCTCCTGTGAATAGGTCCTTAATTATGTGTTTCAAAAGGTCTCAAAAGGCAACAAATTCGGCACAAGGAATGAGTGCATTAAGCAAAGGGAGTTCTAAATTTTAACCAACCCACTTCACTTTTTCCCTTCCCAACACACAAAGCTGTGATTAACACATGAGAAATTATTATTAACACTAAGTTGACCTAAAGAGCCATAACAACATATCCCATTTACTATGTTTTAGGTTTTCCTACATGAGGCCCAGAATTTGGGGGGAAATAACTCCATGTGCACACCAGCCCCCAAACCTCATCTAACAGTGATGCCTTCGAAAATATGTCTTTCCCCCAAACCTCATTTAACAGTGATGCCTTCGAAAACAAGTTTTTCCTTATGCTGTTTCATACATGTGGTAAAAAATAAAATTGCCAAGATATTTATTAACATGTGAGACATACAATTTGCTCAGTAAAAATAGCACATGAAAAAATATAAGCTTATATTCATAAAGAAATGAGTATGTTATTACCTTTTTCTCGCTTGCTCTGGACTATTAATTTGACATGGTTGGAATGTGCACAGCACAGTTGAGACACCACCATTTTAACACTGAATCGCTATACCATGAACTGACAGAACCCTGCGTGAAGGATGAAAAACTCAAACCCCAAGTGAAGAATCACAAAGCAGCATGGAAGGGGAAAATGAACTAAATGGGCATGGGGAGTGAAGAATGGTTGAGGTTCCAGGCTCTAACTGTACATCCTTAAGTAAATTAAATTTAACTCATCTATAAAGTAAGTTAAAACAGTTGAGTTTTAAGGTCCATCTCAACTCTAAATAAGATACTAGCAAAAACAAGGAATCTACCACTTCAGATCCTTATGAAACCCAGGAAAGGGTGGGACACATTGGCTCACCTGAGGTCAACAGTTGGAAACCAGCCTGACCAACAAGGTGAAACCCCGTCTCTACTAAAAATACAAAAATTAGCTGGGTGTGGTGGCAGACGCCTGTAGTCTCAGCTACTTGGGAGGCTGAGGCAGGAGAACTACTTGAAGTGGGGGGCAGGGGTGGGGGCGGCGGCTGCAGAGAGCTGAGATCGCACCATTGCACTCTAGCCTGGGCAAGAGAGCGAGATTGTGTCTCAAAACACACAAAACGCTAAAACAGCAATGGTATTAAAACTGTTCAGAATGGGACGGACACGGTGGCTCACGCCTGTAATACTAGCACTTTGGGAGGGGGAGGCAGGTGGATCACCTGAGGTCAGGAGTTTGAGACCAGCCCGACCAACATGGTGAAACCCCGTCTCAACTAAAAATACAAAAAATTAGCAGAGCGTGGTGGCAGGTGCCTGTAATCCCAGCTACTCAGGAGGCTGAGGCAGAATTGCTTGAACCCAGGAGGTGGAGGTTGCAGTGAGCCGAGATTCCATCACTGCACTCCAGCCTGGGCACCAGAGCAAGACTCCATCTCCAAAATAAAACAAAACCACCACCACCAAAACACTTGTTCAGACTAAACACAGAACTCAAGGGCATTATTATAATGCATTACAAAGAGAATTTTCTATAGCTTTGCACAAGTATCTAAATCCTATACATCCTTTTAACAGCAATTTTCATTATTGAAGACATGACTTAAGTACAAAAAGAAAAGTCCAAACTGTCAGCTTTCAGTCCTCCACATTCCCCTCTTTAATATGGTATTTTGCACTATATACATTAATGAAAATTTGAAACAAAAAAGAACTTTAGTCAAACTCCCCTTCCTCCTCCAGCTTTATTGGAATAGTTTAAAATTACATTTCTATTTTCTAGGACTTCAGTTGCTCTTTCCATCTGACTTTTAAAAACTGATTACAGCAAATGAAACACAGTTGTCTAAGTGATATAGTATACAAAAATAACATCTTGATTTCTGTGAAAATGCATTTCTCTGCAATTCCTGAATAGCTCCAAATTATGCTAACTCTGAGCATTGATGTTTACTCTGGGTTTTAGATTTAGTCTTTGAAAAAAATGTGTTCTAAACCTTTGCCATCACCATCTATGTGTCCAACATCAACACTGTGATGAAGTTGTTCCTGTTTAGGCTTTTATTCCGATTTCTCTCGAACAGCCATTAACACGCATGTTTATCTTTTTGTTTACTCCCACTCAACTGTATGTTCTATGTAGGGCCTGATACAGATGTTACTTGATGTTATTTAATAGCTACTGAGGTCAGACAATCCAAGGCCATCATTATACTAAAATTAAAGTTATTTATGGAAGTTCACAGACACTTCCAGAATTGGTTTTACCTCCTACATGGGAACATGTTCAACAAACCCAGGACGGGCTTACTGGTCTGACTCAACTCTTCCCATTCATCAATCCCTATTCACCAGTGGCACGGAAAGGGGGTTCTTTAACAAAGCATTATACATAACACCTCTACCAAACTAAACATAAACTTTTTTTTGTAGTTAAATGCAGAAAGTCGGTTTTTTCCACCCCTTTCCTCCTTTTACACGGCAAGTAAAGCTCACTGGCCTGGGAGTTGCCTCTATCTGCCAACCTTTGGCCAGTGAAGAGGATTCAGAGAAAATAATACAACCATCAATCAGAAAAAGGAGGGGCGACAAAGGAAAATAATTAGGCTGTAGCCTCAATTGTGCATTCCCGTGCAAGGTGCCCTGACTCGCCACAGCGGTAACAGTTGACTTCACTTGTCTTGCTGCAGTTGATGGCTACATGACCAGTTTCACCACACCTAAAAAAGAAATTAAAATACTTTTCACAATGGGCCTCAGAACAAAACTGTCTACCAAAGCAACAGTCACGATGCCGAACAAAACGCCTGATCCTTGTCTTCATGCAATTAACCCCTAAGGTTTCACAGATATGTACACAACATTTATCAAATTATACACTTTACATGTCACAAACAGGCAAAGATTTCTGGTTACATGATAAAAGATTTATGTGTATTAATTACAGAGCTTTCTATGAAGTCTCTGGAAGTTTCAAACTGTAACACTCTTATTTTTACGTATCAAAAAAATCCAGTTGTTAGGCTGGGCGCAGTGGCTCAAGCCTGTAATCCCAGCACTTTGGGAGGCCGAGACGGGCAGATCATGGGGTCAGGAGATCAAGACCACCCTGGCTAACATGGTGAAACCCCGTCTCTACTAAAAAATACAAAAAACTAGCCGGGCGAGGTGGCGGGTGCCTGTAGTCCCAGCTACTCAGAAGGCTGAGGCGGGAGAATGGCGTAAACCCAGCAGGCGGAGCTTGCAGTGAGCTGAGATCCGGTCATTGCACTCCAGCCTGGGGGACAGAGCGAAACTCTGTCTCAAAAAAAAAAAAAAAAAAAAAATCCAATTGTGAAAACTGTCCTTGTACCATAAGCCACAGGATATCAGGGCAGAATACAGAATTATATACAGACAGACTGCCAGTTACGTATGGTGAAAATTGGTCTTATCTGGTCACAGCTAACTTTCACTGAATTTATTAAGGCCCTTCCTTCCATTTATAGCTAATTCATTTCTGGAAGAATCTCTGCAATGAGTTTTCTTCTAACAACATTCTGATACCTTACCTATAGCACTTCACTTTGGTGCAGTCTTTTTGAATGTGTCCGAATTCTCCACAAGAATAGCACTTCTGCTCATCTGCATGGTCGCAGTCACGAGCCAGATGGCCTGGTTTGCCACAGTTGTAGCAGCATTGCTCTCGCTCTCTCTTGGGCTCCTTGCAGTCCTTGGCAATGTGGCCACCTCTACCGCAGTTATAGCAGGCTTCAACAATAAGGAAAAGAAACAGACCAAGACTATAAAACCTTTACAAAGTGTTATGTTTTAAATTATACAATACAAAACCTCAAAGGTGGAAATGCTATACGCAGTTGCTTGTGCTCACCTCTCCAAACTCTAGAGGGGTATGAAAAGGAAGTGTTAAATACTTACCATCCTCCTGAAGATCACAATCCTTGGCAAGATGACCAGACTCACCACAGCGATAACAGATGTCTGGAAGAGATGAGGAAACAAACTGGAAACCTGTTTTGAGCAAAAACAAAGAGAATTTGGCTAGTCAGACCAGTCTTGATACTAACAAATACTGAAGTACTTCAAATTTTTCTATTCGACAAAATACCTCTATCCGAGGTAAAACCACCTCTGCCACGGCTTCTCATTCCACGACCACGGCCTCCACCAGTAGGACATTCCCGGGCCCAGTGGCCAGATCGTCCACACTTGAAGCACTCGTTGCTGCTCATGGCTGCAGTCAGATCTTTGAAATATTAAAAGTAACAACATTAAACCACTGAAAGTTCTTATAACTTTTATTCTCCATTATATGTATTTTTGGAAAACTATTCTGGGGGAGAAAGCTAGCTAATATATCAGTTAAAAAAATAGCTGGCTGCAGAGGCTCACGCCTGTAATCCCAGCACTTTGGGAGGCCAAGGTGGGTGGATCATGAGATCGAGACCATCTTGGCTAACATGGTGAAACCCCATCTCTACTAAAAATCCAAAAAGTAGCCGGGTAAGGTGGCGGGCGCCTGTAATCCCAGCTACTTTGGGAGGCTGAGGCAGGAGAATGGAGTGAACCCGGGAGGCGGAGCTTCCAGTGAGCTGAGATGGTGCCACTGGATTCCAGCCTGGGCAACAGAGTGAGACTCTGTCTCAAAAAAATAAAATAATCATACAACTACATGCTTATTATAGACCTATTATAATACACAGGCTGTTAATAGTTATTGATGGAAGTGATGGAATTTACAGGGTTAGGGTCAGTGAAAATCCATTATGAGAACAAATAATTGGTAGTGGCCAGGCGCAGTGGCTCACACCTGTAATCCTAGCACTTTGGGAGGCCGAGGCAGGTGGACCATCTGAGGTCAGGAGTTTGACACCAGCCTGGCCAACATGGCGAAATTCCATCTCTATTAAAAATACAAAAAATAGCCGGGCATGGTGGCATGCGCCTGTAATCCCAGCTACTCAGGAGGCTGAGGCAGAAGAATCACTTGAACCTGAGAGGTGGAGGTTGCAGTGAGCAGAGATCACGTCACTGCACTCCAGTCTAGGGGACAAAGTGAGACATACACACACACACACACACACACACACACACACACACACACACACACAGAAAATGGATTCTCAGAGTGAGGAGTCAGTGAAGGAAAATACTCTCTTAACCTTAGCACCTGATATAGTACCTAGTTATACTGCAGCACTTGCCTGGTGACTGATATATTCCTTAGAACAGGTATGTTAAAACAAATGCAAGATACAAATTTTATCTCTAGATGGTACAACTACAGTAGGCCCTCTATATCCATGGGTTCTGCATCCATGGATTCAACCAACCTGGGAATAAAAATATTCAGTGGAAAAAAAAGTTGCATCTGTATGGAACATGCAGACTTTTCTTGCCATTATTCCCTAAACAATATGCTAACAACTACTTATTCAGCATTTACATTGTGTTAGGTATTATAAGTAATGTAGAGATGATTTTAAAGTATATAAAAAGATGTGCAAAGGTTCTAATGCAAGTAGTACACTATTTTATATCAGGGACTTGAACATAGGAGGATTTTGGTATCTGAGGGAGTTCGTGGAACCACTTCTCCACAGATACCAAGAGACGACTGTATAATAAAAACACTAGGAAAATGACTATGAGTTACACCAAAGCGCCAATAATGGCACATACAGCACTGGGAAAATTTGTGTTTTGTTTTCTTTTCTTTTATTCTCCCCTTTCCAAATGTTTCTGTAATTTTACATTTTAAACAATGCAACTTAGAATTTCATAATAAACTCCTTTAATTGGGTATCATTTTAAAATAAAAATAAAACTCCCACTAAAGCAAATGGATTTTGTACTTCTTATGTAATAATCTAAAAATAAATTGAGGCTATTCTTAAAATAGAATGAAATGGAATAGAATGGAATGAAAACAATGTAACTATATTTTCACACTTCCACATCTCAATATTTTTACCCTGAATTCCATTGTCAAACAATGGCACACAAAGTCGTATTTTAAATATCCTCTCAAACCTAAGCACAGGCATCATCATCTAGAAAAACGTATTTACAACTGAGTAAAACTGACTGGATAATGGAATTAGCTAACCCAACCACAGCACCAAAGACCCAAAAGGCAGTCAGAAAAATGGCAAGGTTCTCCACTTTCAGTAACTGTTTAACTTTTTACTAACTCTTGCCACTTGCCTACGAACATATTGCCAAAAAAAATTATTTGGCTATGAGTTATTAGTGCTTTCAGATGCACAAAACATATTTCTAGTCAGAAGAAACCAGCCAGTGAAGGAGATTAAAAACAGATTTTTACAGAATTTCAAACAGTATCTGCTTTGTAATCATTCTTTCTTAACTATACTAGTATCAAGCATCCTAAATTATGTAAAGTATTTGCCGGTTTCCACCAAAGGGAAGAGTCAGGATTTAAAAAAAAAAAAAGAATGGCAGCCTGGGTGCAGTGGCTCACATCTGTAATCCCAGCACGTTGGGAGGCCAAGGAAGACAGATCACCTGAGGTTGGGAGTTCGAGATCAGCCTGGCCAACATGGTGAAACCTCGTCTCTACTAAACATGCAAAATTAGCCAGGCTTGGTGGCGCATGCCTATAATCCCAGCTACTCGGGAGGCTGAGGCAGGAGAATTGCTTGAACCCAGGAGGTAGAGGTGGCAGTGAGCCGAGATCACACAATTGCACTCCAACTTGGGCTACAAGAGTGAAATTCTGTCTCAAAAAAAAAAAAAAAAAAAAAAAAAAAGGCATATAAAATAGTCTATCTTCTCCAGTTGAGCTCATTTAACTATTGCTCTCAAGGAATTATTTACACATAAATGATTGCTTTTAGAGTATAATCCAGACAATCTGCAAGGCCTGAATATTTTATAATTTGATATTTAAACAAGATACATCTTGTTTAAAATACAAAACCAGGCTGGGCGCCGTGGCTCACAAGGTCAGGAGATGGAAACCATCCTGGCTAACACGGTGAAACTCCGTCTCTACTAAAAAAATACAAAAAAACTAGCCGGGCAAGGTGGCGGGCGCCTGTAGTCCCAGCTACTCGGGAGGCTGAGGCAGGAGAATGGCGTGAACCTGGGAGGTGGAGGAGCTTGCAGTGAGTCGAGTTTGCGCCACTGCACTCCAGTCTGGGCAGCAAGACTCCATCTCAAAAAAAAAAAAAAAACAAGGCTGGGCACAGTGGCTCACACCTGCAATCCCAGCACTTTGGACGCAAAGGCAAGAGGATCACCTGAGGTCAAGAGTTTGAGATCAGTCTGAACAACACAGTAAAACTCCATCTCTACTAAAAATACAAAATTAGGCCAGACGCGGTGGCTCACGCTTGTAATCCCAGCACTTTGGGAAGCAGGCGGATCATGAGGTCAGGAGATCAAGACCATCCTGGCCAACATGGTGAAACCCCAACTCTACTAAAATAAAAAAATTAGCCGGGTGTGGCGGTGCGCACCTGTAGTACAAGCTACTTGAGAGAGGCTGAGGCAGGAGAATCGCCTGAACCTGGGAGGCGGAGGTTGCAGTGAGCTGAGATTGGGCCACTGCGCTCCAGCCTAGGCGACAGAGCGAGAACTCTGTCTCAAAAAACAAAAATGTTCTGTAAAAAAGATATGCACCTCAGTGGCAAAGGCAGAACTTTGCACACTAGAACAGAAGTTTTACATGTTTTGCTTTTTTTTTTTTTTTTTTTGTGACGGAGTCTTGCTCTGTCACCAGGCTGGAATATGGTGGCACAATCTTGGCTCACTGCAACCTTAACCTCCTGGGTTCAAGCAATTCCCCTGCCTCAGCCTCCGCATAGCTGGGACTACAGGCGTGCACCACTAAGCCTGGCTAATTTTTTGTATTTTAGTAGAGACAAGTTTCACCATGTTGGCCAGGATGGTCTCGACCTCCTGACCTCGTGATCTGCCTGCCTTGGTCTCCTGAAGTGCTGGGATTACAGGCGTGAGCCACTATGCCCAGCCTGTTTTGCCGCTTTTAGTCACACATAATTTTACTAGACTAAATTAATGCTAATAAAGAAAACAAAAACAAAACACTAAGCCTTAAAAGGGAAGAAAAACATTAATCGCCTTCAAATATCATCAATATGACAAGCTTTTTAAAGAGGTCTTTCAGTGTCCTTAGGTACTATGTACGCAATCTGTCCTCTCCTCCCTTTGGCCAACCCTATCACAGTGAATCAGGTGGTCTACAGTTTCACTGGTAACTGGTCCCTTGTGATAGGCTTGTCTCTTTAACAACATTATTAAACTAACTGCTTTCCACAATGTTTTAGACTCACACTACTTATATTAGGCAGCAGGTCCCGATCCTAGCACTCATCTCATATGAATGTATTTAGTTTAAAGGTCTTTACAGAATTCCATGATATTCCTTAGGAAAACTAAGGTAAGGTAAGACAGCTGAGAATCATGGCTCCATGAGTCTGTCTCATTGCCTATGACTGCTCCTGGCTGGATTCTCACTGCACTGTCCTGGTCTCCCCTGCTCCTTTTACACCTGTCACAACTTTTTCCAACCTTCGTGGGCCAACTCAAATGCCAACTCTATAAAAGAATCTGACTACATCTCCCAGCCTGGAACTATCCTTCCTATTAAGTCCCAGGACACTCTGTTAATATCTGTCTAATGGCAGTACCACATTGCCTTGTATCATATTCCTTGAAGGTAGAGACCAAGTAATTAACCTCTGAATCATCAAACACCCCATACAGTTATCCTTTTAGTAGCCATCATGTAACTCAGTATTTTAATTAATTTTTTTTGGGGGGGCAGGGGTCTTTAGTAATTTGGTGAATGAAACTACTGACCCAATCCAATCTAATCAAGTACTAACAACAAAGCATCTAAATTACTGCTATCAGTAACCAGAGTTACTGCACCATTAATTTAAAGTAATGATGTATTCTCAATTTTGTATTCACTAAGGACTGACTACAGTCACTCTCTGAAACTCTCAGCTTTCTGAAACCATAGGTAAGATTCTGCCCAAATGAATTTAGAACTTTCAGCTTCTGACAGGGATCAGGGCCAACCACTCAAAGGACATTTCCAATGTAACTATTTTACAAATCCAGTAACAGAAGTATCTTCTACTTGTAATTGTTATTTTTGGGATTCCAGTCTATAATAAAGCAAAGACTAGAAAATATCAAAGGAAGAAAACTGCTGAATCATAAAACCATGAAAATTAGATTTTTTTCAGATTA